GCTTTGTCAGGTTGTGATAATGGATGACGGTTTAGTAACTATGTCTAGTTTCAACTAGATCTTCTCCTCTCCTAATTCAAGCTGGACTGCATTTCAAAGAAGGGAGAATTGATTGGTTGTCTACTGAACGTTCTGCTATAGTATCCATTTGATAGTTATTCGATTTAAACTACAAGTCTTCTGGGTTAAAGATGTAATACTCTCCCTTCAATCAGTGACAACTGTCTCTTGCTTTAACATCAATCCTTCACGTCAAGGTTATTTCGTTAGTCTGACCCAAAAATCATTCTTTTTTAATTTAATTAACTGATACGTTTAAGACACCGGATAATTCAAATGGTGGTAAGAAGTTTTGGAGGCAGAAAAGGTCAATTTATTTCTTCTAGGGTCACAAGCTCATCTGCATAAAGGTCATAAAGATGTTTTACCTCATTCATGTCTGGCGGGTGTATATCACCACTGAAATAAAATCGGTTTGATGTAACAGAAATGATGTTTTATAAAAGTTAATGAGACAAAGGAAGAAATCAGTATTTTCAAGGGCACAAGGAGTTAAAGACATTGAAGGTGGAGAGTATAGTGAAAAGTTAAAATACTCCTGATAATTATAATTTAAATCAACAGCACATATGCTCAGAAGGATGGACAGACATTATGTTATGATAACTGTCCTTCTATATGATAGTAATGTGTTTGTGTAGCACGCTTACCACTTATGGTGCCAAATGTCTAGCCTCAATATTTTATTTTAAATGGTATGATTGGTAACTTTTAGTGTGCAGCTCGGGTTTTGTTCCTAACATATTTGACGTAATAATGATAAATATATTCGTCATATTGAGTGGCTTTATAGAGATGTGGTTAGTTTAAGGCATCTCTTATCAGGGATAAATGCCGGTGATTGATTGAGAGAGAGAGAGAGCTATTGAAGACAAAAGAGCATCAGGTCACTGCATCGTCCTGTTTTAGGACTCTGGAGAAGTACGCATTCATGACACCAAAACAGATCGAACCCAGAACCATTAGGTTTCATTGAGTACACGCTATCAATAAGCGAACTGGTTAGGATTCAATAGCCTATGTTTTCCAGTTTCTCTCCATTTGTGATAGAATGTGCCTACCATTCAGTGTCATCGGTGAGCATTTGTCTTGAAGCCTGACTATACTTAATTCATATTTCACTGCATTGAATAATAATTTCATAAAATCCGTCCCCAAATTGTTAAGTAGTGAGCGGTGGATCCTCGTTCATTTTAGACCTGTTTGTCTTTAGCTACATCTCCGACTGTATCGTGACTGTGAATTACTAAGGTGCATAAAACTAGAAAGGAGCTGTCAGATGATTTCTGGTTTTCAGTGGTTTTGAAACTAATGCCAATCTATGGCAGAAGCTGATTTGATATCTGTCGTATATGAATGTTATGATAGTTGAGTACATTTCTACATAGCAAGACCTATTACTGTGATGTAATTCAAAGTGTTTATTCGCTTGTATTTTAACTGACTAACCTATTGTTATGCTGTCAGGCTGACTTACTCAAAAACTTCTATAAGTCATTGGGTTTTTTTTCACTATGGAGAGATTTCCCGCAGGCGTATTTTATATTGTTCGACATCATGTTACCTTTTTACCTGCATATCTTTCGTCCATCGAAATTGTGAATACACAGTGAAACAAGCACAGACAAAAAGAAACAACATACAACGTGGCACACAAGTCAAAGTTACCACACTTCATAATAGTATACAAAGAACAAGCGCATGATAGAAGGGGATGATCAAAGCTTACAAAGTTATGACAGAAAATTAGGAATATCAAAATAAAGGCTATTTCAAATACCCAAGCTTCAGAAGATGCCAATGACTGAATGAATCTGCGTTATTGTCACCAAGAGTCTTCCTGAACCACTGATTTCTTTCATCTTCAGGACCTCAACATGGTAGTCTACATTCCCCCCATATGGCTCAGATCTGCAGTCAGAGACTTCGTCAATTGGTGTCATGTCTAGATCTGGTCACCCTGAACCTTCTTACAAACTGACTCAACTTCCCTTAGCATGGTTCATCGAGGTAGACAGTGACTTGGCATGTGCAACACATGTGCTACCCACCTGTCAGTGAAGACTCATAACCTCATCAATCGACTTGCCTATCTTGACTAGTACCCTTCGCCTGATCTCCACATTGCTCACACAATGATTTAATCAAAACGTGAGTAGTGCTACGAAAACATCTGTGATCAAAACTCTCTGATCGCCTCAAATCTTCTACTTTCAACGGCCATGTTTCACAGCCATACAACAAAATAGAACGGACTGTAGCGCATTATGTTTGTCCTCTGATAGATAGCCAAATATCTCACCTACGCCACAGGTGACGTAAGTTGGCAAATGCCAAACGGACCTTCTTTATCCGAGCTGAGATTTCGTCAGCAAAAAAACCGTTTGAGCCGACGTAACTTCTCAAATAATTGAAGTGGTCGATACATTCCACCACTTCATTCCTTATCGTCAAGCTGAGAGTGGTTGCAGACCAGTCCTGGAGCATCGTCTTATTTGACTGGTGCAAAACGTATGCCGAGCATACTCAGATTTCCGACTGAAATGGGTGGCTTGTTCAACAGAATGTTTTTTGAGGATGTAATCTATTCATCAAATAACACTAAGTGCAACAGAAATACCATTAGGCTTATTGATTTCCTTTGGCTCATTTACTGGATGGAACTGATCGGCCAGTTTTGGTATGTCAGTTTGGAGGTTTGTGGAGATTTTATTCATTTCCAGTTAGTACTCATCACGGCTGGCATCAGTTCAAGAACCGCTAAAAACCTATGGACACCGGACAGCTGTTTCATCCTAGTATCGGATACCTTAGCAGATCACACTCACGATCCCGAGGTTGCGAATACGTCATACTGACGAGCTCCGACGACCACAAAATCTAGATCCAGGCCTTTCAACTAGCTTCGGTTAACTAACAATTTTATTCTCTGCTCTTTTTATGGTCCCCATGAAGCTTCTTCCTTTTTCGAAATAGGACCCCCTCTGTAAAACACTCATACCTAATAAATATTTAATTACAATAAAAGCTTACATAAGTATGAAATAGAAGAGCTATAGATAATAAATTCTCTATTTTAGTTATAACAAATTCTATTTCAATAGACATCTTTGAATTTTTTAAAACTCACTGTGGCTTCTAAACGAATCAAAACACACCATACATTCATGAGGCAACTAACTATTAAACTAAGCCTTGTACTGGTGTATGGACTGTTCAGCTGGAATCAGTGGTGTGAGATATAGCGCAATATTGTTCACAATATGACAAAAGTTCAATTTTCGTTATCTTTGAGATTTAAAAGGTTTTTCTAGAGTTCTTTTACCTCCGTTGATATCCTCTCTGTATGTCAGTATGAACTGTTTCAAATTGTAGCAACCTGAAATTATGGATTTCCAAAAGACTGTTCATTGAACAACAGCCTCTATTGACTGAGATCAAAACTGAGACCATGGGGTACAGTGCTAAAAATATGAGTCTTCCATTTCTAGATCATGATAACAAGTATCATCAAATGATGTATATATTTACGATGTATGCTAAGATAATCACTTGAGATGACTTGACCACCAATGTTCACCCATGCTCTCCTTCAATAGTGATTCCAGATATATCCTGATGAAATGTGAAATGCAAACGTTTTTCTCATATGTATTCACTTATGTGAACTTGAGTCGAGAAAGAACAATAATCGGAGTAGAATAACATGGTGTCATCCCATTTCACCACTTACTCATCAGCTCCTCACAACCACAAACAATTTATCACCATATCACAAGATAACTTGGACAGACGACTCTCACATAAATAAACTCAGCTAACAAGACACATCGAGAAGTCTCACTTAAATACGTGATTCAACAGAGACAGCTTGAGAAAAACGTATGAATTGTGATGAAAGATTTTGTCAGAAGATTAACAAGGCAGCTAGTTGGTGAAAAGTAGAACAGATAGATTATGTATTAACATATGATGAGTAGAGTTCAAAAGATAGATAGAACAATCATGGAAAGTGTGTACATCGGTAAAGGGGTTCAGTCAAATGATGATTTCATCGAATGAGAGGAAGAGTAAAATATTAGATAGTCAGGTCGAAGAAAGACTTATCACTACTACTTTTTGAACACACCACTCTGGTTTTAGTTGTTTGATGATGATGGTGTGGGCGAAGTTGAAATGTGGTTTGAATTACGTTGTTTATTAATAACGTTGAAGTATTTTGAGTTATGTAGTTAGTGTGCAGTGTTGATGAGATGTTGAGTGACATTATTAGTGAAATCACTTGTTCCCTTGAGACGTAGACGTTTTGTTAGACGGAATGTTAGATTTCCCTTTGTCTCTGTCCTTTTGATGTGACTGCTACCGCAGATACACAGTGACTTGTACACAAAGTTAGAGGTAACATAGGTAGGGAATCTTTGGACTATCGATTGTTCCAAGAAGCATGTTGTTCTGTAGAGAGGAATCAACCTACGCAATGAGGTGCAGAATTTCTGGCTAAGATTCTACAAGTGTTAGGAATCAGTAGTTCGAGAATATCACTTTGTAGCAGTAACCATAGTCAATTATGTATAGTCAAACTCCATTATGATGAGTACTGTGTGGAGATTGTTGATACTATTCCCAAAACATTTTTGTATCAGAGGTTTAACTCCAGCGTTTTTGCAGTTAAATATTTCACTTGTCAAAATTGAATATGCCTTCTTCAAAGATGGTATTCTTCAGATGACCGAACTACATCAGTAGTGGGGATTTTCCGTGTCATGTTAGTGACTGTTATCAGTGACATGTTACTCTTCGAAAGCCCATGATGACTGTTCATGACACAAAAAAGTGGACGTGCTGTTGTTTCTTTCATCTTTAATTAATCTCGGTAACTTCTGATGAACTGAAATATTTGTACCTCAAATATGTTTTGATAATATTTTATTTATTTCCAGTATCTACATCATCTACTTCATCTTTTAATACAACACGTACTGACATGTTTCACATCATGGGAGGTGGACCCAGAGAAACTGTCATCATCTCAGTGTAGTGGTGGTACACTGACTTCATCAGATACAACTGAGTTTGCCTTATCTCCGGGGAATATGCTTAAATGTTTTAGACCAATTATATTTGGCAGTTTAATAGCCAACCAAATAATGCTATTACGATATTTCGATGTTGTCTGGCGGTCTATACAATCAAGCTTGGATTATTTCCCGAGGTATGCAACATTCTGTTTTTCATATATGTATGGTTCACTGTTGGACTATGCAGCATATACAACCGTGCTTCACTAGATTCAACTAGATTATTATGAATCAGTTTTATTACAAGTAATTCTTGTGAATAACAGTAAAGTTGTACTTATGCAACTATTCGGCAAATAGTCTTGATTTGATTGTCAATTTTATTGTATTGCACAGAAAGTAGGACATGAAATGACAATTTACTTGGTTACTGAAACTATAGAAAGAATAAGTAACAAGAAACTCTGGCTTGGCAACGAACCAACCAACCAACAACCTATCACCCAACCGATATGCAGTAGAACAAAGTGGAGATGGATTGGACATAAACTGAGAAGACCGTTTGGGGACATCACGTATGAGTCCAGACCAGGCGAGGCCGTCGAGTGGAACCCTAATGGGGAACGACGAGTTGGACATCCGAGGCGAGTGTGACATGTAGTAGATGGTGTGAAGAGGAAATGAAGGCTTCTTGGTAGTCGTGAAGCCAGGTTGAAAAGACTGGAGTGAGTAGAGTGAGATGGTGATGTGCTACTGTGGCCCTATATTTCACTAGGAACCCAGGGAACAAAAAAATAATGAATAACTGAAACTGTGCTATCCAATGAGGCTGACCGCAACACTAGCTAGAGGATATAGATTATTAGAGGAAACACCAATTATCGGGATAGTGGAAAAGAATTTTCTTTTCAGCCCCTTCAACTGCATATAATCCTACCTAGCCAATGGTTAAGATAAACAATGCATCAAAAGATTTGCCAACTTATTTGAAGAATCTGGGCAGCGTTGTTAGTCAGTCAACATCAGCTTAGAACCCGGCTTTTCTGCATCTGTCGCTGATAAGTATGCATGTATTCCACGATGTCACAGAGAGTGAACGTCTGTTTCGTTATATCCTTTATGATTTTTTCCGAAAGGTTGTTTCTCGGTTCCCATTCGGTGCTACAACCTAGAATTCTCGGATTTTTCACTAGTTGGAGGGAAGCTAACTAAAGCAGCATAAATTGCTTATTAAAAAAATGACAATCGGCAATGATTAAAACACATCTACCCAACAAGAAAGTCACACGTGCAAACACTCCTTTTTCAGCCTGTCAGCGTTCATTGTTTTTTCTTGCTATATTTTTGCTCGATTTTATATCTTCTTCCCTGATCAGTCATCAACCGTTGATCATTACTACCTCTTGTTTTTTCCTTTATCACGTTATGTACTACTAATAAAAATTTTTGTCAGTAGCACGCCTACTGTATCTCATCTGAGTATATTAACCACTTAACTTGCTTAAGGAATTCGTTCAACTCTGAGAAGTGAGTGACTGACTTAATCTCAGCATGGATAGAAAATTTCAACTGACTTTTTCCTCCTTACGCCATTCTTGGCCCCGCCACGACATCTGACTGTCCATTAAGGACCAGATGTACTGTGCTTTATTTGGACTATATGACTGTGAAACACAGCCATCAAAGGTAAAGGACATGAGAATGTTTCAGTTGTTCAAACCCAGTAGCCTTCGTAGCTCAGGGTGTGTCATGGTGACACCAGGTCGGTAATGTAAACGTTAGGGGCAGATTTTTAGGCAGGAGAGTGAAGCCAGTTGGTTGGTCTGTGAGTCTTCATCAACTTATGTGACTGGACGCATGCATATTCACTGTCTATCTCACTGTGCAGTACTAAGCGAAGTAGACTCGTTCTGGAAGAAGCTTAAAGGCGGCCAGACTGAAACATTGTATCTGTTCATAAAGTTTATGAGTGCTGGCTTCAGGGATGAAGGGAAATATAGACTTTCTGATTAGAGTCTCTTCAACAACCAAAATCGATGGCTGGAGACTAGGCGATGCGGCTCAGAATTTATCTCAGTGACTCAAATGCATCCACTTGTCTTTATCTGAACTATGATATTACATTTCGTTACCGTTCTTCGCACTCCCTTACTCTTTTAATGGCTTCCTAGCGTATGTGATTACCTTCTTCTGTATTTGTTTATCTTTCATCTTTATATTTCATATCCTAATAAGATTTCTTTGAGGTTTGACATTTTGGACCACTGAGTCATAATTTCAGGCCCCATATTGATACTGATACTCACTGAATGACTAGTTGCTACAACAGAACGGTGAGATAAATGATATACACAAGTATACTGAACAGCCAAGCGTATAAATTATCATCAGTCTTTGGAATTGAATTGAATTTGGGGGTTTGTAGGGATTTGGAGATTTTTCAAGTTGGTATTCATCATGGGCTGGCATCAGTTGGAGGAATATTGGGAACCTGGAAGCACTGGACAGCTGTTTCGTCCTAGTGCGAGGCTCCTTAGTAGTCGAACCCACCACCCCACCAGGGATCGAGCCCGCGACATTCAGGTTCCGTGGCCAGCACGTTACCATTGACCTGCTGAGTCCGAATCCGGTGGTTCATATTTCCAACTTCCATCAGTTCACAACAGAAGGTAGGTCAATGTTAACGTGCTTGCCACGGAATCTGAAGGTTGTGAGTGCGACTACTGAGGAGTCCCATACTAGGACGAAACAGCTGTTTAGTACTCCCAGGTTTCCAATGGTCCTATAAATGATGTCAGTCCATGATGAATACTAACTTTTTGACTTTACTTGACATATTTAAGGGCTATTGTTTTTACTTTAAGAGAAGTATGATTGCGTAAGGGGAATTGTGGACTTTGCTAGTTTTGATGGTCTATCGAAGAACATTAAATGAATATTTCAGTCGTGTCTAATAGAAAGAAGTCTAAATGTTTTATGCTGATTTGATGAAACTGCATTCCATTTTCATAGCAAAACCAAAATCTCAATCAAAGTAATTATTATTCCTGAATACCGCATCGCTATAATGATTATGAAAGATCGTTCATAAGCGTTTGATTTATGATCCCGAATCAAGGAGTGATGCATTTAAGATAAATAGCATACACATGTCTTGCATTTTGCCATCTCTCGTTATCGTTAATGTGCATAAATTTGTAGTTTGAAGTTTATGGGGATTTTACTTCAAGTTATTTATCACAAACTGACGTCCATTGAGGAACCAATGGAAGCCTGGGAAAAGTGGGCAGTTGTTTCATCGGATATGGGACATTTTTAACAATACGCACTGACGACCCCACCAGATATCCAACTCATAATCTTCCGGTTTCACGACGAACACGTTAACCATTAAGCCACTAGGTCAGAGTTCGATAGTTCGAAGTTTCCTACTTCTGTCATTTCGTGAGATAGCACGACAATCCACTGAAGTCTTTGATTGGTATCCGCTTGACATCCATTTCGTTGAAATAAAATCCCCAAAAACTTCATGCATCATAAATATGAATTCTTGGCTCATTGGTTCAGATAGTTGACCATCAATCAGTGGATCGTAGGTTAGAATACCGTTAGGTGGTATCATTGGCTCTCACACAATAGGCGTGACTCATTACCTACTGCACGAATATACACAGGGTTACTAAGTGGGTTGCAGCTACAGCATCATAACTGAAGTCATCAGAAAATGTCATTCAAGTGTTAGAATGTTCCATTGTTCCTCTTATTAGATAGTAGTAGTATATGATTATTCCCGTACTCAATATTGCTATAAACTGATGGTTGACTAGAGTTAGCAGTAGAATAAACTATACTTGTACCATTCTATTCGAACCTCATCAGCATCTCAGTCATTGAAGGTGTCTCACTTGAAATGGAGCTTAGCACCGACCTCTTCAGACGATGGAGTATCATCTCCTTAGTTTCTGAATCATATTAATCTGACATTCAAAGCGGTGCATGTTAAATTATAGAGGCGGTTGGATGGTGTCAACAACTAGAATGTTTAAATGACATATCAAATAGGATGATTTTTGCATCTTAGTTTCCAATACCAGTCATCATCAAACAAATCCAATTGGCTGAAATTTATTGCATACAATCTGTAAGGATAAAATGAATTTAAACGTTTATATTTTTGCATAGTTAATATTGATCTTAGTACATATTTCAATGTTTCATCTAGTTTATACTGTTTGTTTTTTTCGCTGGAATGTAACATTTCACATGGATATTATAAAGAAAGAATAAAACATTTTACTACTTCGTGTATTTACGCAAATTTCAACTTTAATTATTTTTTTTCTATGTATATACAAGCCCATGAGTTGGTTGTCTTCAAGTATGGTCTGAAATTTAATTATTTAATTTTGATTCTTCATGATCATTTGCGTATTTCGCTTTTATTTATTTTACTTCAACGATTGATTTTTACCAATAACGATGATGGTCCGTTTCAATGAACAGATGTATTTGTAAAGAGCTTTGCCTGGTTGTAATTGTCTTAGGCACGTGACTTTGTGTTTCAGTCTTAAGGTAACTGCTGAATGATTGGAAGAAGGGCTACCTTATCAAACTTCCAAAGAAGGATGACCTAAGTCTTTGTAAGAACTGGTGAGGAATTATGCTTCTGCCGACACAAAGCAAAATATTAAGCCGCATCAGAGATTAATAGAGCTCTGGATTCAGAATTATAACCGGAACTGGCTGGCGGACTAGCTTCAGGAAGAACAAATCACGTGCGGATCAAATCGCAACCCTACGCTAGCATCACCACAGAACAGAGAGTAGAATGGCAGTCAACTCCGCACCTCAACATCATCGACCTGAAAAGACATTCGATAGCGTCGAACGAGACGTAATTTGGCAGCTGCTGCTTCAAAACTACACTACACTAGACTACACTGGTTTAAGCGACACAAACTTTATCAATCTCATCCAACGGTATAGCTATATGATGATGCTAAGTGCCAAGTGATTCAAAATCGAAAGCTCAGTGACGCCTTTCAAGGAACACGAGAGTAAGAAAGACTGCCGCCTACTATCACCAATGATCTTCCTGATTGTGGAGGACTGGATCATGCAGCAAACCGTAAGGAGCAAGAAGATGGGCATATACTTGTTGGACGGATGAAAAGACCGCAAAGAAGATTTGGATTTCGCCGATGATGATTTATGTCTAATGTCGCACAAACTCGAAGATCTACGGGCGAAAACTGACAAGTTGATAGAAGAGGCAGAGCAGCGAAGACGCTAATTCAAGTGAACGTAGAGAAGATGCAAGTGATGAAGACACCCAACTAAACAACAACAACAACAAAAACAAGCATCATTCACCACCAACGCGAAAAATATAAACGGAATCATCTCTTTCATCTACCTACATACCTAAGCAGCATCGTCTCAAATACAGGCAGTGGTGGTGGCACAGACGACAGTGTCAAAGCCAGCCAGAATCGGAAAAACAGCAAGACAGGCCTTCATCAACATGAAATCAGTGTGCAAATCTACTACACTGAACTGCATTCCACTGCACTCAGCATAAAGCGTGATCAAGATCCGGATTTTCAACACTAATTGAGTCAAGTAAGTCAGTGCTTCTATGTGGTGGTTGAAAGACTTGGCGCGTTATGGAAAGCATTCCGAACAAACTGCAGATATCATACATACATGAACAGCTGACGCCTACACCCACCCAATACTGGAGATCAGATGAGAAGGTCGGAAAGAACGAGCAACAAGCAACTCACTCCGGCTGGCAATGAACCAACCAACCAACAACCTATCACCCAACCGATATGCAGTAGAAGAAAGTGGAGATGGATTGGATTGGACATAAACTGAGAAGACCGTTTGGGGACATCACGCGTGAGTCCAGACCAGGCGAGGCCGTCGAGTGGAACCCTAATGGGAACGACGAGTTGGACATCCGAGGCGAGTGTTACATGTAGTAGATGGTGTGAAGAGGAAATGAAGGCTTCTTGGTAGTCGTGAAGCCAGGTTGAAAAGACTGGAGTGAGTAGAGTGAGATGGTGATGTGCTACTGTGCCCTATATTTCACTAGGAACCCAAGAAACAAATAATAATAAATTCATATATTACATCCAACTAAATTACCCGACTACAACGCACCTGAATTTATAAAGATGAAACACTCAATTCCAGGCACACAAATGAGATAGTCCAGATTACTAGATTTCACTCAACATGCAGTTATTTTTGAATCGCAAGTTATGTATAAATGAATGAGAGAGGAGTGCATCGAATGCTCTTTAACTGTGCTGAATCTTTTGCGAGAAATTGTAATCCTTCTACACAAACAAAGACGATGGCAGTTATTACAGGATGAAACAGGACTGTATGAAAGTCTCTTAGTGTGCATGTGATTAGGACTGACTGAATGAAAGAGAAGTGCAATACACTTAAAACATACTACTTTTAGGCATTTGTTACTGCAAATCATTTTCACCCAATGAGTCACTCTCAATGGCTGTTTTGCAGTTATTTGAAAAGCAATTACCTTAGTTGCAAATAATTTACTGTCTGAACAGTCGATGTTGACATTTCACTAGTCAATTTCTTCAGTGGTGTATTTAATACCTTTTGTTATAAATAACAATCTATCAACATGGATTGGTGGTTATCACTCGAAAACCTATTCATATCAGATTTGAGCAGGTGAAAGACTACTCAGCTGTGAGTAAAACCAAAATGGGACATGGAGTTAGTGAATCATTTGCAAATCGCCCAAACTTTTCATATATGTCAACTATCCAGTTTCAGTTGGTTTGAATAGTTCAGTTCCTTTGGTATTTTAACGAGTCCGCGCATACCACTGATAAGCTCTAGCGAAATGGCTGTTCAGTGCTTTTATCACTTTGATGTGACCATAGAAATCTGCAGATCAAAGAAGATGCAGAGAAAGAAAAACAATCGGAGTAGAATAACATGGTGTCATCCCATTTCACCACTTACTCATCAGCTCCTCACAACCACAAACAATTTATCATCATATCACAAGATAACTGGACAGACGACTCTCACATAAATAAACTCAGCTAACAAGACACATCGAGAAGTCTCACTTAAATACGTGATTCAACAGAGACAGCTTGAGAAAAACGTGTGAATTGTGATGAAAGATTTTGTCAGAAGATTAACAAGGCAGCAAGTTGATGAAAAGTAGAACAGATAGATTATGTATTAACATATGATGAGTAGAGTTCAATAGATCGACAGGAGTTCAGTCAAATGATGATTTCATCGAATGAGAGGAAGAGTAAAATATTAGATAGTCAGGTCGAAGAAAGACTTATCACTACTACTTTTTGAACACACCACTCTGGTTTTAGTTGTTTGATGATGATGGTGTGGGCGAAGTTGAAATGTGGTTTGAATTACGTTGTTTATTAATAACGTTGAAGTATTTTGAGTTATGTAGTTAGTGTGCAGTGTTGATGAGATGTTGAGTGACATTATTAGTGAAATCACTTGTTCCTTGAGACGTAGACATTAAACGACTGGAAAGTAATCACCCGTGTTACCTTTGTGTTTGAATTATAATCTGTAAGTGACTTTAATTCTATATTGAATGAATAAATAAGATATTCATATAGTTCAAAAATCTCTATTTCTCCAGTGACCAATCAATGTATGGATCCACGTTATGATTGAGCTATGTATATGAATCGATAGTCTGATACTGAGTGATGTAGTCACCAACTCCTAATTTCTAATGGAAGCATGCTGATCAGCAGTCACTTTCATACAGATCAAAGGATTATTACATCACCTTTTATTGATATCTTGCTTCATGTACTATGATTTCCATTTGGTTTACATGATGTTCGTGTAATGCGAATAATTTCCTTATCTTTGTATATTTTTTTATTCCTTATTCACAGTGAACTTATTCAGTTATTCAGTTCATTTCGTAAAGCACTGGAAAAGCTACGTGGATCAGAATTTTGTGATAATTTAATATCTGGTTGTATTTTTCTACGTCTTATATGTCCAGCATTACTTTCACCTTCATTATTTGGTTTAATTAGTGCTTTTCCAAGTGAGCCAGCTTGTCAACGAAATCTTACACTGTTAGCTAAATCCTTACAATCACTGGCCAATTTCAGTACATTCGACGATAAGGTAAGTCTTCAAAATAAAATAAAACTCTTACATCATACTAGACTACAATTTTAGGTGCCTGAACATGTTTCATTTTTAACGATAATTGTAACATTTAACTGTCAGTCTCACTCAGAAATGTAAGCCTAGCATGCAAAGCTTTTTAGTTCTATGTATTTGTGGTTAAGATGAGCTAACGGTTAGAAGAACAGAGAAGCAGGAGTCCTGAGCTTTTCGGCCCCTTAACTTCAGTCGACTAGAAAATTCCAGTGATGAACTAGAGTAAACAAGAGATAGGAGAATTTTTTATGCTTAGATCACTACAATTCATGAAGAAAATACAAACGAAAAAAAAGTAAACATACCGTGATATAATTGTGTCTTATTTGAAATCCCCATACTTCATGTCAGCACAACAGTTGAAAACCAAGCAAGATGATAGACAATTGTTCAAAGCATTGATGCTTCTGCGCCTTTGCGGTTGTCGTATTATTATCATTATTATTATTTGTTTCTTGGGTTCCTAGTGAAATATAGGGCTACAGTAGCACATCACCATCTCACTCTACTCACTCCAGTCTTTTCAACCTAGCCTCACGACTACCAAGAAGCCTTCATTTCCTCTTCACACCATCTACTTCATGTCACACTCGCCTCGGATGTCCAACTCGTCGTTCCCATTAGGGTTCCACTCGATGGCCTCACCTGGTCTGGCCTCATACGTGATGTCCCCAAACGGTCTTCTCAGTTTATGTCCAATCCATCTCCACTTTCTTCCACTGCATATCGGTTGGGTGATAGGTTGTTGGTTGGTTGGTTCATTGCCAGCCGGAGTGAGTTGCTTGTTGCTCGTTCTTTCCGACCTTCTCATCTGATCTCCAGTATTGGGTGGGTGTAGGCGTCAGCTGTTCATGTATGTATGATGTCTGCAGTTTGTTCGGAATGCTTTCCGTAACGCGCCAAGTCTTTCAACCACCACATAGAATCACTGACTTACTTGACTCAATTAGTGTTGAAAATCCGGATCTTGATCACGCTTTATGCTGAGTGCAGTGGAATGCAGTTCAGTGTAGTAGATTTGCACACTGATTTCATGTTGATGAAGGTCTGTCTTGCTGTTTTTCCGATTCTGGCTGGCTTTGACACTGTCGTCTGTGCCACCATTGCTGCCTGTATTTGAGACGATGCTGCTTAGGTATGTAGATAGATGAAAGAGATGACTCCGTTTATATTTTTCGCGTTGGTGGTGAATGATGCTTGTTTTTGTTGTTTTTGTTGTTGTTGTTAGTTGGGTGTCTTCATCACCTCTGTCTTTTACACCTAGTTTACTAAGCGGTCCTAAGCCCGGAGAAAGAGCTTTGGTCAGGCGTGCGGCTAGCAACCCAGCCCTGAAAAATCAGTCCTATCGCCAACGAAACTTGAAAGCATAACTGTCATGTAGCGTCAGGAAACCAAATTAATCGGAGTCCAAACTAATTTTTTAATCAGTGACTTTCAGAAATTTTTAGTTCTGTAGTTTTTTTTGTAATGATGAAATGGTACACCTAATATGTATGTTGTAAAATCTTTACTGATTGTTCGACAATACTCATCAAGCAGATGAATGAGAAATCTGTAGTCATGATCTTTTTGACTTTCTTAGTAGCTGTTAAGATACATCTGTCGTTCAATGAGGCATAACTATCCTGATGATTGTTCGTGTACATATTGAACTGATCATCTTTGTGCTGTCATAAATTCTCATGTCTGTTGACATCCTAATGAATCACCTGAAACAACTCTTGTACTTGATTTGTGTCTCAGTTTGAAGTGATATGTATCTTATGAATACTTATGATGACAACTATAATTTTTCTGCTTATCAGTTAGATTTTACTGGCTTTCGATAATAATAAAGCAACTACTAGTTCATAGTTCTATTTCAAAAACAGTATATTTTCTTTCAGTCATTTCCTATGTAGCGTTGCATCAGAAGGTCAAGTTAGTGGCTTCCGTTTTTGCTGATACCAGTTCACTTAAAGTTATCGAGACATTGATTCTTTCTTCTGGACAGTCATCACACCATTTTATGAAATCAGAACATCTACACTTTCATCGCATGAAGTCACTTGGACACGTGTTGTGCATACTGATCCATCGCCTACCTCGATTTGCCACGCTAAGAACAGTTAGATAAGGTTCGAACAGAATTCAGGATCACCAGACCAAGACGTTACACCAATCGATGAAGTCCTTGACTGTTGGTCGTAGTTGTGTAGACAGGTACAGACTACCTGGCTTAGTTCTCGAAACGACAGGAGTGTTGGTGAAATGGTCGAAAATTTTTCACAGTGACGCAGATGTATTCACTCTTTGATTTCTTCCAAAGTTTGAATGTTTTGGTCAACCTTAACTTCTAAATTCTTTCTCCCCCCATTCACGCTTGTCTACTTTGAAATCAGTCCTCCTTATCCACTTTTTCTTTGTATGCTACTATCAAGCGCAGTAACTTGAACCGATGAACTTTTTGCGAGGTTCTATGTTGCTTCTGTCTATCTGTCTGACTTCTGTGGTATGACAGACGCTGATTTTGGTTGCCTTGTGGACCCGACCAGAACGCTTACATTTTCTAACGTGAATGAATCAGATCGTCAATCACTGACTTAATTTATGGCTGCTGCTGCTTGGAAATCCATAGGTTTCTTTTAACTGAGTTCTACTTTAACTTATAACCAGCTCTGGCATAGTAAGCGGATCTGAATGCAAAACTCATATTGTAAAAATGTCACAACCTCATCTACTGATTTGTAAACATCATCTAACAAGCTACGCATAACTTCTGTGCTGCATACATATTGGTGATAGTACCTATGAGTGGTGCAACAGAGGCTTCGGTGGTCAAGTATCTGATGCCTTTGATGGGCATTTTCTTTATTTTTATTTCACAGCCATATAACAGACTGGTACACTAATGCTCTTCTCATGTAATTATTCACAAACACATGGTTATGTCGTTTAATGGGTGTTCTGTGACCAAGTAGAGGGTTGTGTCAACTTTTTTCAACACAAAGTTTAGGATTAGTCAATCCAATTTCTATAGCTTTAGTTATACGTAAAATGCAAATATGAATCTTATTTAAATGTTTTGTTGGAATGTGACCAGTGATATTGAAAACTACCACTATGTGATAACTACTGGTCATGTGCGACCAATTTGAACCGTATAATGAAACCTCTTGTCCTCTTCCTAACCACAAAGATAACAGCTTTGTAATACGTTTGTTTAGCTAAGGAGAGTCACACTAAGCAATGGTAGTAATTCATAAAATCGCTAACTGTCAGTGTATTTCACACAGAGAAATGTAGGCCACCTTTGTGGTAACTTCAAGATGACTGTCTGTAGATTATTAATGATATAGCTTAAAATCAGTCACAATTATGCAGATGTACCAACCTTATCATCTTGAAAATTATTGTCTTTATTCCTATGCGGTTATTAGTTTCCATGTTGTAAAGGTTTACGAAGAGTTGTCATCTGAAATAACTACCAATGATGTGCATTTCGGATACCAACTGTCATCACTTCTGTTTAACCTTCTCATATATGTTTTGATGTATATCACACCGGGTACTTTTAATTTTGAATGAAAATACTAACTCTCAAATTGACTCACAATACACAGAAAAAAGTAATCTGATTCGGTCGAAGGCGCTGACTAAGTGCTATTTTGTAAGAGACTTTAGTAAAAATCTAAGCGTTTGGTGTGCGTTATGCACCTACCACATTTAAGATAACGCTTATCTGACTAGCTTGCATCAATCCCTAGCTTAATACTAAGAATTTAAATGGTTGAATGCATTGACTATGATGTTCGTATTCTTGCAAGACAGTCGTAGCAACCAAATATAGTCTAGATATTATTAATTTCCTATAAACTGTTCAATAAATTTATTGACGATTGGTGATTTTGTTTTGTTTGTTTGTCTGTTTTCTCTCCTTGATGAGGTCAGATATCTACTGTGTATGCATCAAAAGAGTTTACTTTGAATGATGATGATGGTGATAAAAGAGTATACTGAAAATTCTCTTATCTGTTCTTATTAGATTTCACAAAGAGGTACTTACATATGTGTGTATATGAAATCCATCAACACACGTGTAAAGGTTGTGATTTCCTCAATGTGGTATGCTTTAATTGCTTATTATGTATACGACGATTATTCACCTTTAAAGACAAGTGTTGGTCGATTCTTTGTAGGGTAGTCATATACATAAACGTCTAAGTGGATGGTTGACTTTTGTTTACTATATAATGGCACTTCCTTTCTGCATGTATATATAGGGATGGCGAATGAGTAGTTGAAGAAACACCCAATTTGTAGCGGGATTGGAACTAACATCCATCCAAGTCAACATAGGACCAGGCATTACTGCGTAACGGTCCGAGTTGCCTCACCTCATATCAGTACATCAAATAAAAAGGCAGTAAAGTGGAAGGTGAACGAAAGAAAATTCAGTCGGAAGAAATATAAAGTACTAAAAGAGAGAAAGGAAGAATGAGAAAATGGTAAGATTCGGTAAAGCGTTAAGATGAGGATAATGTGTGTATACATCTGCGCCACTGACATCGGTTCTGAGCTATATCACCTAGAGTTTCCAACCACTGGTTTCTCTTGTCCTGCGCACCCCAACCACCCAGTCTGCATTGCATGGCTCAAACCAACAGTTGAAGACTTAATACATCGGTGCATATCTTAGTCTAGCCACCCTGGGCCTTTTTCTAGCCTAAACCGACTTCGATCAACATCGTGTGACGAGGAAATCGGTGACTAGGCATACGTAACACATATCCGAGTCACCCATCTCAGTCGATGAAGGTTCACAACCAAGTCAACTGATCTGCCTCTTCTCCCTAAAATCTACACCTGACTTCTGCATTACTTACGTGGTGACACCACGTAATACGGCCCATACTACGAAGGCAACGGTGGTCAAACACCTGAAGCCTTCTCATGCCTTCCACTTCGATGGCCATATTTCA